AATACAAAGTCGAATATCTCGAAATCTGTGGGTTCAAAGTTGGTCAAATTTTTTTGTTGACCATTACATGATGTGGCGTATATAATGGTCAAAGGATTTTTGTATCCTGATAGCTAGACTCCAACCCGATCTCTGTTTGTTGTTTATCTCTTTGGACATCACTTTAGTTGTTCCCAATTATGTGTTGACAATTGTATGTATGGTATGGCTGTGTGTATAGTGTACTCAATACTCCGTGCTTTGATTGTCTGCAGATTGTGTGGACACACGTGTTGTGTTGAATCATGTGATTTATTTTGTAACGGATTTTGTAATCTATATTATGAAGTACTCGTTATTATGAACTGATTTTGTGTTCATTATTGAGAGAGAGAGAGAGAGAGAGAGTCAGTGAGAGAGAGAGAGAGAGACATGTGTTTGCAATTAAAAGTGAAATAACGGATTGCGTGACTCGTGTTTTGGTCAACGATTTGTTTGCATAACTAAACGATAGCCAAATAATGTGAATATTAGCCCATAATTAGCACCGATTGCTATAATTATCCGCTAATTGTGTTCTCATTTGCATTGATATCTACACAACAGGTAAAGCGTCGACAGGCGAGCAAATGGTTCAATTCGCCGACCGATGCCTTCCTCAGCCCCTGTACTCAGAAGCTAATGAAACCCAAACACGACAACCAACAGGTGATCCAACCGTTGGACTTGGATGACGACCGTAAGCACCAGTCGGTGGTGTTGGGCGCTCAGGGGGTCATCGATACCGAGAATGCCATGCATTAGACCAAACAGCTGTCACTCCACTCCCTGTCCACCAAAGCATGCCATCGGATGGTCTGTCACTCATCACTGGATTTAATGCTTTCATTAATTATTATTTGTTTTTTTTAATTCAGTGCTGTTTTTAATGTGTGTTTTTATTATGATTTTTAATGATTTTTATATTTAATTTGAGAGTTATTTGATTACTATTTTTATGTGTCATTTGTTTGTGTTTTTCTCATTGATTTTTATCACAATTATTATTATTTGTCGTTTAATTAATTATATATGAATTACAATCGGATTAATATTTCTTATAAACACGACTTTTGTAATATAATCTATATTATAACTCTTGGGACCAGTTTAGCGATTATCTTAATCCTCGGCCACCAAATTCAATGCCACTGTATTTGGCATTTGATTCAATTGTATTATAATTTTTAATTAACTATTTTTATAATCAATTTTAATTCCGTCCGAAATCTATGCCAAAAATATATATAATTATAAAAAGTTATCGCAATTTGTATTTTTCAAAAGGCATTTATAATTTTATTCATTCAAAGCGATTAAATAAATACCATTTCATTCAGATGTTTGTAATTTGATTTGTGTTATAAATTATAACTTATAATTAGTGTATTTAATTAAATTATATATAAGTTTTATAAATATTTTTATAAATCGGTTATAAATCACTTAAATCCCATTATTTGTACAGCACTTCACTATAACGGGTGTGTGTTATCTGATTGTAAGTGTTGTTTATCGGCGTTGTATTGATTAGTTTGTAAACGGTTATAACTCTATAACTAACCGTTAAATTGTTTTTATTGCCGTTTGATATGAATTATTTGTTTAGGTTTTGTTGTACACAATTCACTATCACTTGATTGTCACTCAAAATCACCACTTGTGGCCCAAAGACCAAGATTTGCGCCAATATTTGTTGTTTAAGTGTTTAGTGAGAAAGTGGTTGCGAGAGAGAGAGAGAGAGAGAGAGAGAGAGAGAGTCACAGTAAAGCCTTAGTTCATATTATTTAATCTTTCGCTCACTTTTTTCTTTGTAAAGAAAGAAATTCATTTCTAGTTATCGATCGATACATACGAGTCCTCAACTCAACGACTTTCACAGTCTCTCTCCTCTCTCTCGCACTCACTATTAATGGTAATCTTTTTTCATAGTCCTCTCCTCCCTGTGCTCCTCAACAGCACACACTTCACCATACCTTTTGAAAATGCATACAAAAAACAAAAACTTCACTATTGATCAAAATATACATGTTATGTAAGTTTCAACATCTCTCTCTCTCTCTCTCTCTCTCTCTCTCT